TTGTGGATGCTGAACCTGTGGTTCCCGCAAACTGAGGACCATTATCAGACATCACTACTTCTGGGATGCCATGCCTCGCAAATATCGATTTGCAGTGCATTATTACGCACGCTGCTGTGAGGCTTTCCAGTCGAGCGATTTCGGGGTAGCGAGGGTAGTAGTAGACGACGACCAGTCACCATTTTCTGTAAAGGAAGAAGAGGTCCATCGCCACTCTCTCCCACGGTCGACTAGGAAACTCTGACGGGATGAGGGGGAGCTTTCGGTTCTGGCCAGTTTTTATGCACTTTTCGCAGTTCTTGACCAGGCGCTCGATATGATCGTTTATCCTCGGCCACCACACCAATACATTTGCTCGCGCTTTGCATTTTCTATGACCATGTGTCCTTCATGAAGTTGTTGCAGGATATGTGGACGGCAGGATTCTGGTACCACTATTCTAGAACCATTCATGAGAAGGCTCTTCTGCACGGCAATGTGATGACGGTACTCGTAGTACTCTTTGAGGTCTGTTCCGAGATCTCGACGATTTGGCCAACCTCTATGGCTGTAGCTGGCGAGTCTTTGGCAAACATGGTCTTTGTTTTCTTCTGCCGTTATCCATTGGAGACTCGTTTCCGTTGCTGGTAAGGATGTCTCTATGTGTCGAATGAAGCAATCGATTTCTTCTTGCATCTCTCTGTCTTGCCGCTGTGGCAGAGGGCTTCTTGACAACGAGTCAGCTGCTTGGAGTTCCTTGCGCGGATCGTGAACAACTTCGAATGAGTAGCGCATTAAACGTATGCGCAGTCTCTGAAGCCGTGGGGTTAGGTTGCCCAATGACTTTGATCCGAACAGAGAAATGAGTGGTTTGTGGTCGGTTTCCAGTACAAAGTGCGTTCCCAAGATGTAATCTCGGAATTTTTCGCATGCCCACGTGAGTGCCAAAACTTCTTTTTTTTTTTATTTGGGCGTACCTCTTCTCTGTTTCGGTGAGTGTTCTGGACGCATAGGCGATGACGCGATATGATCCATCCTCCTGCTCTTGACGCAGCACTGCTCCCAGACCGTAGGATGACGCATCTGTTGATACAATCGAACGTTTGTTGGCGTCGTAAATTCCGAGAAAGGGGGGCTTGAGAGGATTTCCTTCCACTTTGCGAACACACTCTGCTGAGGATGATCCCACACGAAGTCCACTTTGGAACAGAGCAGTGGCGAAAGTGGATGCAGTAGGTCAGACAGGTGTGGCACAAATAGTCCTAGGTATGTCGCCATGCCCATGATGCGCTTGACTTCTTGCTTTGAAGTCGGTATGGGCATCTGTTTCACTGCATTGACGGTTGTCTCGTCTGGACGGACACCATAGCTGTCTACTTGGTGACCTAGCAACTTGTCACTCGAAAAACGCATTTATCCTCGTTTAGCGTGAGTCCTGCTGATGAGAGTCGCCTGAGGACTTCTCGCAGACGTTGCTCGTGCTGCTCGGACGATGACGCCCATATCAAGATATCGTCCATGTGGCAAAGTACTCTTTGCATTTCTTGAAGTTCTGTGATACGTCTCTGGAAGTGTTAATTCCAGTGCTGACGTGATTCCGAATGGTAGGCGATTAAAACAAAATCTTCCAAACTGAGTGATGAATGTCGTCAGGAGTCGTGACTTCTCTTCTAGAGGAATCTGCCAAAACCCAGAATTCGCGTCCAGCTTTGAGAAGATCTTGGCTCCCGCTAGCCTTCCCAGCGTGTGCTCCACTTATGGGATAGGGTGATATTCGCGCTGAATGTGTTTGTTCAGTTGTGTGAGATCAACACAAATGCGAATTTTGCCAGACGGTTTGGCGACGATGACCATCCGCGCGCACCATTCAGTAGGTTCTTCTACTGGAGAGATGACACCTTGCAACTGCATGTCTTCTAGCGCTTTCTGCGTTCCTCGATACAGCAAAAGTGGTACGCTTCTCGGTGATGCGATAGCAAACGGCGTCGCGTTAGGTTTCAGCTTGAGAACGTGAGCACCTTCGAGAGATCCCAGTCCTTGAAACAGGTGAGAGAACTCTTTCTTCGGTTCTCAAGCTTTGTTCGCAGTCATGCAGATTTCAGGGCAAAGCCGAAAGTTTTCGATTGCTGGCTTACCCAAGAGAGGTTTGCGAAGTCCTTTCACGATGTAAACTTCTTCGAGTGCTTGTTTCCCACGACAGTTGAGCTTGATCCAAGCTGATCCCATGACTTTAAGGGGTAGTCCATCGGGACCATGAAGTCGGCGTTGGGGCTCGGAGAGCTTGTGGCACTTTGCGAAGACCTTTTGAAAGATGGCAGCTGGTAACACCGTTTCATCTGCTCCAGTGTCTATTCGGAAAACAACAGGAATTTTGTCGACGAATATCTCGATGTCCCATTTTGCTGTTTGAGGAGAAGCTGCAGCTCCTACGAATCCTTGTTCGTGTACGAGGGAGCTCACGGTAGGTGAAGATTTGCAGACTGTTGCAAAATATCCCATTTTCTTACACCTGTTGCAGCCTGCTTTCTTCGCCGGACACACGCTCCCCGGGTGAGCTTCTCGACCGCACCAACGGCAGGGTTTGCCTTTTGGTTTGGGTGTCGCGGTCTTCTTAGGAGGAGTTCGAACATTTGGACGTTCAATTCCTCGCTGAGCAGGTCCTGCTGCTGTCCCATTTTTGGCTGCTACACGGTCAACGTTGGCATCCTTTTCTTTTGTCAGTCGGAGTTCCACTTGTTGCTTCTTAATCACTTCCGATTGTCGCGCCGCAGCGATGGCCTTCTGGAGGTCCAGATCAGGATTCAGTTCAAGTTTTTCTGAAGTCCTGCTGTCCCGAAGACCAACAATCAGCCTGTCGCGGATCAATTCTTCCTTCAGTGGTCCATAGTTGCCCGTAGTGGCTAATCCATGGGGAGCAGTGACGTACTCCTCGACGGTTTTCCGTCTCCAGTTGCGATCTTGTGTTGAACATGGCTCCCTCATACACCACGTTTCGACGAGGAATGAAGTAACGTTCGAAGTTCTCCATCACCTTCTCGAAATCTTGGGCCTCGGTGTCGGACAGCTTGAAGCTCTGTAAGACGTCTTCAGCTTGGGGTCCCATGATGTAAATAAGAGCGTCGACTTGGTGTGATGATCGTTGAGATGCCAGTCGTGAGGCACTGTGAAAGCGCTTGAATCTCTTCTTCCACGCCGGCCATTCGTTAGATGTTGTAAAACTGAAGGCTTCGGGTGGCGAGATGCGAAAAGTTGCCGTTACCGTTTGTTCGGTAGCACCGTTGTCGGCAGAAGTTGAGGGCTTGTTCATTGTTCCTTCGTTTGTATTCGATCCTGCGCTTTACTAATTATTAGTAGACTCGCGGAGCGATCCCGCTTCTGACACCATGTTTCGTTTTACGTTCTTTGGCGAAGCGCACACACAGACAACCTTTCGTGCCGGAGTCAGGCTGAAGACTGACCTCTCGTTTATTAAATATAAAACGAAATAAAAGAAAGGCGCCTCTGGTACGGGGCGCTCAGGTTACGCGCGAAGCGGACGAACGGATGTTTATATCTCGGGCTGCGCGCGAACGCTTGTTCTCGGTCGCTTTGGACTTTGGTTGGAGCTTGCTATTTTCGGCCCGTCGGCGACTCCATAACAGTATTTACGCACTTATAAGGCAGTATATGCCCACTTATATGGCAATATCTGGCCGTATTTGCTCCTATATATAGCGGTATATTGTAACAGACTTGTACCGTACGCATTACAAGTAATCGAATTACTTGTAATCGATTACTCTTTAGAGTAATTTTGTAATCAGTTAATTACTTTTATTAGGCAGTAATCACAAGAGTAATCTGATTACTTTTTGAAGTAATAAAATTACTTGTAACCGTTACAATTATTTGTCCACGGCCCTCCCCCCCCCCCCCCCCCGGCACACGCCTTTTTTTTTATGAAATGACAAAAATAAAATTTGGTTTTTTTTTCGATCAAAAAAAAAAAAGTTTTGGCGGAGCTGTAGGAAACGAGGTCAATCTCTTTCTATGTACAGTTTCTGTGGAATGTCCGTTTTTTTTTTTTTCTAACTGGGGCTGGGAGTGGGAAGCCCCTGGGAAGCCACAATGCGTGACAAAGGCCATTCAGGGCGAAGTTTGAGGAAGCAGAATGCAGCTTTGTGAGTCCTTCGTTCAAACTAGCCCCCTCACGCACACACACAGAAATAAAAAAAATAAAAAATCCTGCTTAGGGTACCTACTCGCAGCCCGTAGGAGAACCAGAACCGAAGAATGCCTAAAGCGGATGCAAAATATAACAAAGGCAGTTGAAATATTTCCCCATTTCCCCTACGTGGACTTTGTGACAAGCAATGTTTCGAGTTGAGAAGTGGTCGGGGCGATCTCTTCCGCTAATGGATACTACACGTGATCCGTTTCAAATCTTGGAGTTGCTGCTCTTTTGTATAACATGCGAGCTCGTCCACATGTGAATAATAAAATGAGCGACGCAAACTTTGAGCGACAACCCTTGCTCAAGCTCAACAAGATCTAGAACCCCCCCGCTCCCCCCCTCCCGCCCCCCCCCCCCTCGCACACACAGCCACACTGGCGAACGCCCAAATCATTAAACGTCTTCAAACGAATTCTAGGCTTGTGTCCGCATTGTGAAGGTGCAACGACCACGAAGAGGGAGCCAGTTTTTCTTCTTCAATACTTGTGCAAATGTGAAATATAGTTTGGAAGTAGTTCATTGTTATGAGCGCTAAATATGTCTCTTCACACAATAAAGTAATCGGAAAAGTAACGATTACTTCTTTAAGTAATGTCCAATTACTTTTGCCGTCGAGTAATCAAGTAATCTAATCGAATACTTTTTAGCCAAGAGTAATAGTAATTGTAATCGATTACTTTTTTTTAGTAACGTGTACAAGACTGTATTGTAATATTTGACTCCTTATATTATCATATATGGCCATATATAATGTATATCAGGGCCATATGTCACATTTTCGTACGGGATTTAATAAAACGACCCAGAGTTCTCCAAAACAGTCATCTCAGATTTTATTTCTGCGCGGTACGACCACGTGTATCTGAAAATAGAAAAACAAAAGAACTACAGGTATGATACCGAGTACATCGAAATACATGTTTGCGGGTGGACACCGGCTCCATCCGCTATGTCGTCTGGACTTGTAATATTTGTGTTCTCCGCACGACGCTTTTATTCCAAGCCCTCTCGGTGCACTGGGTCAGCTGGTCTCACACTTGCTGTCATTATGTCCAAACGATGCAGAGTGAGGCAATAATGGGACACTGAGTGGAAGGGCATATTCAGTTGATGATGCCCTTGAGCCAGTCCAGGTAGCTGGTCACCCTGGTGTAGATGCCCGGAAAGCCCGGAGTGGCGCAGTCCTTCCCGGACGACACCACGCCGAGCACGTAGTAGCGGCCCTCGAAAGGAAGCACCAACGGACCTCCGGAGTCGCCCTGAATGTGGGAAGGCAGAAGCAGAAATGTGCCAACGTCGGAGTAGCGAAGATTCTTCGATGTACTGATTTACTGGACCAGAATGCGTGCCTTAATAATGTAACACATCGGTGAAGGTACCTGAGCTTCGTGCATCATCTGATATACTCCGTTTCATCGGAACTTAGCAAACGACGGAGGCCATGGTCCTAGTGAGGCCATCAGCGCATCGGAGGGAGGCACGTGACTATACTATGTCTCCTTAGCTGTGCGCACTGCTGTCAAAGCCACGAGCGGGAGAAAAAGGAAGGCGGCTGTTGTAGAATGTTTGAGCGACAGGCTAATCTTTGAGGTAAAAAAACAAAAGTGAACTCTAAGACAATAAAAAAGGGTCCGGGTAGCAGCGCCATGTTTTGGCCAGTCTCCTTCTTTGTCGGCGTCTGAAGCGCTTCCTTGCTTCTGAATATCCAGTACCATAGCCTCCTCTATAGTACTGACAAAGCCTGACAGATCGCCACGAGACGCGGCCGCCGAAAGTGAAAAGATAGTGCGGATCAGAGGAGAGGCATATAACCGGCGCCCTGCTGGGTCGAGACGCCCAAGCACATTTGTCCCGAGAGATGGAATGTCCGCTCGTGCTCCTCGCGTTCTTCGCGCTACCACTTATTTTCTCATTCGGGTTTTAAAACCATGTTTCGGGTCCTTGCCGCTGCAGAAGCTGTGCGCTGAATACCAGAAATTCTCTCTGCTACAATATCCTTGCGCTCCAAATTTGCGACCGTGCACTCTATGCTTCCGTCATCGAACTGCCTGGCTTCGTGATTATAGGGGAGGCTAAGCCACTGCCAACTCGCCTGACAATCTACATTGATGAAATAATAAGTGTTCCTCCTTCTCCTCTTCTCATCGCATTTGCTTGGGTTTCGCTCTCGTGCCGTATCTTTGGTATATGCGGTGATGTGCTTCACCTCAGTTGCTTTGATTTGGTCAAAGGGGCCGCAGCGCTCGATCTTCGCCAAGTTACGATGAAACCAAGTATATGAAAAAAAACAAAAACAAATCGACGCTGCCTTGGGGAAGAGTGCGAGGTGAGTAACAGGGAGTGGAAGGCAAGGAAATCGACGCTGCCTACCCCAAACACACACCCTCAGAAAGCCAATGGAAGGCTTCGCTGGTTACGTTCAAACCGCTGAAAGAGGCCGGCACATTTCAAAACTCTGGGAAAACCACACCTTGTTCCTCTCTACTCTCCTCAGCAAAATGCTAAAAATATCGATTAGTACCACAAAATAAAAATGTTATTTCGTTCTTCTCATTGCCCGTGATGGCTGCAGTATATTGAAAATAATCTGCAGCTGAGGAACTGCTGACCCTTTCTTTATATTTGCCGCAATATCTATAGAAAGCATTAGTATAATTTGAAATCAATGCGCGACAGAACCCAAGAAAAAAATTCCGTTAGTCGATCCGACATGTATTTCCTTTACTGAGCCTGAAGGACTACAACAGTGACATCTTGTATTTTTGAACGGCATACTGAAAATCTCTAACCGTTATATTTCCGAGGATTCGAACAGCTTTGAACTAATAGTACGCACCTCGAATAAAGTTGCAGTATTTCCGTCTATATTGTTTATTTACATAAGTATAAGAGAATGTCCTGCACTTGTTTAAAAAGGCTTAATGACCCTCAGAATTAGTGAAGAAACTAATTAATGCGACCAAGGCTTGCGGGTGGGTATAGGACTCCATCAGCGGTCGTAACCAGAGAGAAGTAGCTAGAAACTTGGGTGCCCTTGAGTTCTAGAAACTTCGGGAACGCATGAGATTACAAGAAAGACAGCATACTCAGCGTGACGCTTATCTACACAAGGCGGTTCAACCTACATAAAAAGTATTGCTGTGTAACGATTGAGCCGGCAGTTTCACTCCCGAAACAATAGTATTGGGGATGGCTGTGCTCAGGCTTATATGGTTTCGATGCAAATGCCATCCCACGTCTTTTCCTATTATTGCAAATAAATTGCCAATTTGTCTTAAATTTATAGTGCAGATAGTGATATGCTTCTAAAAACGTAAATCAAAGGGCACATTGATACATTAAACCCATATTGTTCTAAAAAAATAAAAACAAATCCATTTCGAAACACCGGTCTAAACATATGCCTTTCGTGTAAGGCGTGTTAAATTATGGGGCGCTGGAGAAAACCCGCTTTCTGCGTTAAGTCCTTATTTTGAACTCTTTTTGTTCGTGTTCCGCCCATTGAGAAGCATGCGGCAAGGGCTTCAGCACGCACCTCGTATCGTTGCGCCGCAGGGTGCATCCGCATCTGAAACAAAGGGCTAACTTACCCTTATTAGACGCCAGGCGCAAAGTCTCCCGTCTGGCGCTCATCCACAATATTTATTACTTTGATATTAACCTTAAGGAGCGCCTATTTTTTTGCCTCCCCCTCATCGCATCTTTCTCAGAACCAACTTCGCAACTCACCATTACAGCTTGCCATTACATAATGGAACTCATTGCCCTACACGTTGTAAATATAACTGATAAAAATGAATTTAAAAGTACATGCGGACGTTTGTTCCACTTTTTCCAGGAATGAGTCATAGGATGGTGACCTTTTTGTTTTTCATGTGAGAAGATAGTTTAATTTCTTTTCCTGTAGCCTGGTTGGCACGATGCTCCCTGTTTGTGTACGAGTGCACTTTTTTCTTGAGTTGGTATATTTGCATTGTGTCCTGCTTTTAAGCAAATATGTGCGAAATTTATTGTTTTAATATTTTTGTCAAAAACGGGTACTGCCCCCTCACACAATGCCCGAAAGGGCGCTTTTAGGTATAATAAATAAATAAATAAATAAATAAATAAATAAAGGCCGTCTGGTTTCACCGCCGTCACTAGGGAAACAAACGCCTATTTCCCGAATGCCGTCTGCTAGCCAAAGTTTAATAGTTTTGTAATGAGCAGCCGCAGACTGTCGCCGCGGAGAACGCGTGCTGGAGGAGGGGGCGTGGGGGGTCTTTACGCTTTTTAGCAATAGAAGCACCGTCCGAAAAAGTTATTCGGCGTTCGTTGCCATGGTGACGGCGATGAGAGCAGACGGCCTTTGTGCTGCGGAAGAACACAGCGGCAAAGCGATACGATGTGCGTGCTGAAGCGCTTCCCACATGCTTTTCGATGGGCGCATAGCGAACCAAAGGAGTTCGAGATAAGGACTTAATACGCAGAAGGCTGTTTTTTTCCATCGCCTCATCATTTGACGAGCATTACACGAAAAGCAGAATTCTTTCGGCCATCCCGCGCCCTGTTTTTTAATCCGTAACATCGGTCTAACGTATCAAACTTCTAGTCAAAGTAAAAAAAAAAAAAAAAAAAGAGTGGAAGTTTTGCTATTCCTTAAAATATGCTTTGACACAACAAAGTAATCTTGGTTTTTAAACGTTAACACAACCACGCCACGTTCTAACATTTTAATAAATAGAAAACAAACCCATGCGGTTTGCTCTCAACAACATTTTTATAAAATTGAATGCGTGATACCTGGATAAAACACTGTAACTCAGCAAAAAAAATAAAATTAGGAGTTTAGGGATTTCTTAACCAAGGAATTTGAGCACAAAAAGTACCAGAAACCCTACGCCAGTCGTTTTGTAGTACAAAGCGCTAGAATATGACAGAAGTTTTAACAGTTTATTCCACGAGATGTAAGTTTTCTTATAGAGCATTTTAACGACTTATCTCCATTTGTTATATGCATACTAGAGGATCTACGATGGTTATCTATAGGGCTAGCGCCCTATATTTGTAGTCGGATTTAGTAAAATGATTTAAATAATTGCAAAATTTTGAAGCTCGACTCCTTATGTGAAATAGTTATTTTGAAATCGTTTTTGTTACACGACCATTCTGAAATTTAAATCAAGCCAATACTGAAGATCCGGTTTTTCTTAGTCCGTATGTGCTTCCTTGAAAATTTATTCGCTTTGCCTTCTGGGGTTTGTACGACAGGTTAGAGCTGAGCAAGGTGGGTCATATCTTTGGATAGAACCTTTCTTTTTAGGTGTTCAGCCGGTCCTATCCATAAGGTGCTTGTGCATACAAACATATTTTCGAACTAAGTGTGAAGGTATATACCTCACTAAATTTAGCGATATTTTCGTTTAATGCATTCTTGTAACATATGTAACTCTCCAAATCGGTTTATTTGTTTGAGGTATCTCAGTAACAAACGTACCGATCAAATATCCGAAATCAACTACAATATTCATAGTGTTTAGTTCACTTCTCGCCGTTCTAGCATTTGTTTTCTTTTGAGAGATTTTCACAACATCCTCTCCCTACCAGCGCAGAAAGCCTGAATTCATTGTTTATAAATATTTGAAATAAGGAAAGGGGGGCTATTCACCCAGAAAAAATGTTTTTGGGAAGGCCAACTGCGTTTTATGACGTGTATCTTGAGTTCAGTTTTCTCAATTTAAAAAAAAAAATGTTCTTGGAACATTTTACCTCAAAGCTAGAAGCGATGCCATCATTCAGCTTTCCGGAGTGAGCTCGGAGAGCGCAGGGATTGGCCTTGCGGGTACTACGCGGCAGAGTACACTCGGGCTGGGGACATTTTTAGGGCCAGAGCTACCAAGCAAGCTACGCTTAGAGTACCGACACTTCCCCAATTGCCTCGAAGGCGGCACCATTTTGTTACCAATTGCAGGGTGGGCTCAATAAATCACTAATGTTAAACAGCGCACAAAACGCCGGCGGAATAGAAAAGGACTGTAGAACGAAAGAGCTAGTCCTTTTTTCTTCCGCCGACGTTTTGTGAGCTGTTTAATATTAGTGATGAACCGGCTAGCTCAATTTTACTAGGACTCAATAAAACTTTTCTTTTTTTTCAAAAATCTAGAAATGGCGCGTGCAATGTCGTTCACGCTCTTCCTGGCTCCCGTAACGTGGTCACGTGAAACTGACGAGAGTGAGAATTAAAGAGAGGGATAGCAGGTCACTTGCTCGCCTGCCGCTTTCCAACGGCCACCGATTACTTCCTCGATTCCTTCGTCTGCTACAACCGGCTCTGTACAGATAGTTCTCGTTATTCTTTTTTAGCGCAGCAGACGGTGCTGCACACTTTTTAGCACATTCAACGGGTCTATGGGGAAAGTTACGATTCGAAAATGCGACGTTCTGAGCTATAGATGCGAAGTTAGAAAGCACAAACAATATCGTATCGCGGTCTAATTTAACATTTCTCATGAACGGATAAGTGCTTCGTGCGGTATCGGATAAGATACCGGTAAGTGTATCAACGATTTGAGGCAACAAGCCGACTGAAGTGCCGTTATACTCTGAAGCGGTGCCTATTTGGTGCTTTCAATGTAGGGGCGTATGAGTTGGTGAGAAGGGCGACTGGCGACGCCAGGCTTACTTGGCAGGAGTCCTTCTTGCCGTTGGCGTCTCCCGCGCACAGCTGAGTCTTCTCGATGGGCAGGTGTCTCTCGTACGCCTTCCGGCACTCGGCCTCCTCCCAGATGGGAATCTGGGCTTCCCGGAGCACGCTGCTGCCTTCCCCGGCTGTGTGGAGAAAAAGAAAAAAGCGCGTTGCACTCAACGTGTCTTCTATACAATCACAGCTCTATAGTCCCTGCTTAAGGAAAGGAGGGAGTGGTGAGTTACACAGCTCCTGTAATGACTGTGCAACCACTGCGAGCACCTGCTGATGAGACGGCCGCAGAATGAATCACAAACGAAATATTGCGAACATAATCAGCCACGCCTTGCGTTTAATTAAGCTGGCACTGATTATAGCTATACATCACCGGTGCTCATTTCGCACCAAAAACAAACGGGAGGCGTAAGCGATGAAAATTTTCCCGTCACCACCAAAAATACCCTCGAAGGCGTTGCATGGTCAAGTCATTAACGAATTAGAACAAGAAGTAAATGATCACGATGAAAAACTAAAGCACAAAAAGACGAGGACCGGGACAGGAACGCAACACAGAGGAGAGACAAGCCCTAGATCACAACTCAAATGTCCGTTGAAACGAAGAATGAATTGTGAACATGCGGCTGGCTCGACGAAAAAAACACCGCCACAAAAGGCGAGGCAAGGACATAAATCGTATTCACCATTCTTAAAAAGAAGTAGACAGGAATGTGCGACAGGCTTGGGAGAAGAACTACCGGCAAGAGGCGCGCGGCAACGACTTCAACCACTCTCAGGACTCTTTAAAAGAAGAAATTGACGTGCCAGTTTGCGACAGAGTGGGCTGGCTAAAACAGCGGTCTCCCAAAATGGAGATTCTAAACGCTTCAAATACTTATCTTGTGCGTTAGTTTGCGTATCGACCTAATGCAGTAGTTTTATTTAAGCAAGGTACACGAGAGAAGGTCCTATAATGCAATAGAAGGTGACCCTCACCATAGACTAGGGAGAGAGATTATATTCCGCAAACCTATCATTAAACACCGTTCAGTTTGACCGAAATAAGGTCTACCACAGGAAAGGGAGATTTTATATAAGTGGACCCATGTTTCTTTAAGCATGTGTGTTTTGAAGCGTTTTCTGCTTTAGTTCAAACCTTAGGACCAATTTGCCTAATTGTTTAGAGGGCGTAAAGCACTAAGGGGACACCATACCGATTGGCGACCTGTTTAATATTATGGGAATTCTTATGTAAGTACGGCATGACCACCATCCTTCTAATCTCGGCATCTCGCTTGGTTTTTTAGGCCCCTTTATTTGAGGATATCATCACTTCTGTTAAAACCTGAGACGTACAACCAGATGATATTTGTCGTCCAATCTGAGCGTCAAAACTGGCTTTCATAGCATAAAAACCGGACTTATTTAGTGCCCATGATAGGCAGGAAGTAGGTATGACATGATAGGCAGGAAGTAGGTATGACCCTTTTTACGACATTAGATTGTGGGAATGTGTAATGTAGGATAACTTTTTCCCAATAGGGTGACAAGGACCAGCAGAGGTGATTAGATACCGGAGATATTGAAAGAAAAAAATTGCGAAATTCCCCCGTTTTGGGTTCTTCCAAAATAAATGAAAATTCAAAACCAATGCTCGAAAAAATGTTCAAACATTACGAACTACATTGTTTTCTGGGGATCCTTTGTAAATTAGTAGGGAGTCATCTACATATCGAAACACATTTGCAAGTAGCGTGAAATGAATGAGGAAATCAATAGAGCGGACAACCTTTGAAAAAAATAGTTCACTAAACGATCAGTTTACATCTAAAAGACAAGAAACACACCTATAAAAATAAACATTATTTTTTTAAAGCATGAAATACTTTTTAACGCTACCCCGAATCCCCAAATGTTGTCCGTCCGTCCGTGAATTTTCCGCTAAATTCAGCGGGAAAAATGTTGTCACGTGACGTCACCTGACGTGAGGTGACCTATACACGCAGGGAAAGCTGCACGTTACCTATATGTCTACTTAGCTTCTGCGCTAAATTTAGCGGGAAAATTCACACCTTGTGGCCAAAATACCAACTTAGTCTCTCTGCTAAATTGAGAGAGAAATTGACGTAATGTCACCCAACACCTGTTTCTTTACCAAATAAATTTAGCAGGAAAATCCACGTTTTGTGATCTAGACCAATTTCCTCGCTTTATTTAGCGGGAGAATCGGACGTCACGTGACCTATACAACCGTTCAGTTTCCTCGCTAAATTTAGATGGGAAAATATACATCGCGTGACAAACCAGTTCCCTCGCCAAGTCTCTATAACGCATTTCATGAATTATAGGACTTTGAAGATAAAGGTCGCTGACAATATTTTGCAATATCGTTTACGAGAGTCGAGTATTTGCGAATCGTATGTTCCGATATCAATCACACTGTTCTTGCTTGTAGACAAAAAGAAAAAAACAAACAAAAAACGACAACTATCACCGTAATTATGGATCACAGTTATTCGAAACGTAATTGGAAACATTCTCTCATTCATTAAATTGACATTGATTTCTAGCTTTGTGCCGGTGATGATTATATTTTATGGCATGTAACACTAATGCAGCTGAAATCCAAAATAAGCTTTACAGCGTATAAGAGGACCATTAGGTAGGGTTAAGGTTGTTACAAAGTACTTTCGAGGAAAAACAGCCTATCCATTTTGGTTTTCACTTTCCCTTCCCAAAACGAAAGAGCACGAAAATACGCATGTGTCACAAAACGAAACAATTGCCAAACCGAAACCGTAGTGGCATTGTTGCTGAAAGAATACACACGCAAGGATAACGCACGTTTGCGGTCGGTCACATGGAAATACTAGTCTTAATGCGTATTCACTGGTGTTTGTCACCGAGCTCACTATCACCTACATTTAACGCACTCTTTCGCAGATCCTAATTTTTTTTTTTGTGCCGCGTTTCCCAATTACGGTGGGTTATGGAAGAACAAATAAGCACACTACTGAAAAAGTATTAAGACACGAAATACTATAACGTCTTTGTACTATAATCCCAAGCAAAGCCCGGAGAATAACTAAAAATCCTGAAGATATAATGACAGAACGAGCGGGTTGGTTGGGATAATTAAACTTGAGGAAGAAAACGTCTTCTTCCTCAAGTTTAATGATCAAGATATTTGCCCTTGTTCCAACCTTTCGTACTCTCAAGGCGAGCAGGCGCACCACATATCACTGAACTGCCAGTATTCTCTTTATCGATATAAATCTTAAAAATCGTAAGTTCAAGCTTTAAAAACTTCGAAAACACTTATTACAGAATTTTGTGCGCGCCATACTCACCGCATTTTGAGTTGCGTTACACATTAAAAAAATTGAAGCCGTGCGCAGACCTACAATCCTAGCTCCTTCCTGTTTTTATTAATTTTTTTGTTTCTAAATGTGTATACGACCGCAGTATGGTTCTTAGTTTTCCCGTGTCCGGAAACGAAGTAAGTGTTAGCCTTAGCGTGCTTCTTAGGCCAGACATTTATCTGATCCATTTACAAGAAATTGATTAAAAGCATAATCTTACAAGGAAAACCTGTCAGCTTATTTTTAATATTGATTTCTGATAGTTTTACAGCAATGTGCGACGTCACGTTTCCACTGTAGAGCTGCTGCGAATGCAGTGCATGCGTAGGCGCTTTAATGCACCTGAACAATGCGAGTGTGCTCTACCCACACTTGGGGCTAGGAAACGCGGACATTTCGCAGGCAGCGTGTTGGCTTTAGTCATTTTTTGTTGATACAGAAAGTGTATACATACTAATATAGATACAGGTTACTCCAACATATTACACAGTGAGTTATCAAGTATTTTTGTCTTGCAGTCTGCATAACTAGGTTGTTAAATCTCGCAGCAACGTCCAGCAGTGGAGTCCTGTGCGCTGATAGAGGTGTCAGCTAAACTAAGTCGCGGAAATTCACATAGATGCTCCTTTTAGGCGCTGTACCCGGCTCTACTCAAAAGTTGTGTCGGATGAATGAATGAATGGATGCAAATGGCTGAACCCCTTAAATCAGGCGGCGGCTCGCGTCACCCAGCCACTGTTTTTAATACCTATGTAGACGGTTATTAATACCAGGGCTAGCTTTATAATCTTCTGGATATTGGAGCCTGTACACAGTGATTCCAAATGTTCATTAAAGCTGTAATATTTGTGCCGTATATAACCTTGTCAAACTTCAAAGCATATGTCTATTTCTATAAAAAAAAAAGAAAAGAATTTAATTCAGCAGAATTGACCGACTCGAAGGCGGGTGCCGACGCACACTTCGGAGGTTACCGAGGATTGCATTTGTGACGCCACCTCCCGATAGGCGTAGCGAGAAGGTGACGCCGTCATCTACTTTCGACCGAGAGTGTCGTTTGCTTGCTGAACCTATCGGGATATGATACCACAAGGCCTCGACATTGCAAAATAACGCTAACCAGCATTTTACGAGATCAGATAAAGTATTTCTAAGCTCGATCTTCGCAGCTCTCCAGTTGGATTTGGATAAACAAGGTCAAGGTTAGATTAACATTTGGATAAAAAGGTTGGATAAACATCTGGATAACACCAGAGCCACGACACTAGAGCGCCGAGGGAAACCGCAAGACAGGGGAACGCCGCAAGAGTAGAGGACAGGAGAGTAGAGCGCCTTGGCAGGAGAGCACGTCTCATTAGAGTACCCGCCATGTGAGCGCGTTTGTGCGCTGCTGGAACGATAGATATTGGGGTCTAATGGCAGCCAAGAAACATACAAAACGCGTGTTCACAACGTAAGAGAAAAACTCAATGGAGGAAACCTCCCCGGAGTAATGCACACTGCGAAATTGGCTGATGAGGAGGAAGCTTGCCGCCCTTTTGACGAAAGCGGAAAAAGGCACACGCAAAGCATTGGAAATGCGCCAGAACTCAATGTTCGTCCTATTAAATTAACGGCGAAATACTCGAAGAATTTGACCGAGCTATGCATGTGACCTACCGGCGAGCGCAGTAACATATACAATCGGTCAATATAGTTATTGCGTTATTGTTCGTGTGACGACTACTTTTAAGACCCAATAATCATTTGAGCGAATTAAGTGCGCACTGAATTGAGCTAAAAGCAGCCTTGTGCGACAAATTAAGCTGGGCGAAGTGGCACAAGTGTGTTAAACATGCGGTGTGCCTCAGCACCGTATAATGACTTTGATTTTATGATGTTATCTCTCTTAACTCAATACATTAGCGCGTAGTTGTCATTGCTGCCACTCTTACTGTGTGTTTTTGTTTAAATTGTTCGCTACTTTCTTTATTGAGTCAATTCTACTTTTCATTTTCGGCCCCCAGAAACAAAAATAGGGTTTATATAAATTTGGGAAAAACAAAAAATCGGTTTGGCGATGAGCTTTGTTCCAGGAATGCAATTTTTCTTCATTATTGAGAGTAAGGCTACAGGAGCCTACCGTGTTCGCAGGTGTTACGTAATTATCCTGTATTATTCTGGCAAATGTGGGCAAAACGTCGAATTTCACACGCGCTAGAAATCAATTCGTTCGTTCCTAGGATTAATGATGAACTATGAAGCTACACTCGCATATTGTGGACTGTAGGCTCTCACGTAACAGTTAATTCAATGTATAACAATGCAGTTACTACAGACGGGGATTCGATAACTCAACGTTCTCCCACTGGAAAAGGTTTTAGTCACTGCACCTGCGCGCCTGCCGTCGGCGCTCTCGTGTTGTGCTAAAGCCCCTCTATCCTGGGAAACGTGGCGTCACTCATTGTTGTGGAAATGCTCGAGACACGTGCCGGACGCCACTTCTGGAAAGAACGTGGCGTAGGAAATCTAGCTAATCTAGCTTAGTGCTGCGCTGTGCCGACATGATATTCCCAAGGGCTGCACGTTGCGCATGCCTCGGGCATCGACGCACCTTGCACTACCTTTGAAACATAAAGGGGCTTTAGTGCTTTGCGCTCTTGCGGCGACCTCCCCTGTGTGAGTATAGTTGAGCCAGGCTAGGACCAGTACGCCTAAGCAAAGTCATGGACATTTCATCCCGATATTATTTCCTGGCACCTTTAAAGGAACCGTGAAACGATTTGGCATGATTTTACTGACTAAATCTTCGGCCGAAAAACCCAGTACAGCTTTTTGCTATCTGGATTATGAAACTGGAAATCTATCTGGATTCTACTGAATTTCAGGTTTTCAGAATTCGTTCCTTTATGTACAACCTAAATTTCAGGTTTCCAGAAAAAAAATTCCAGTTCAACAGGGTGTCACAAAAAAAATTTACACGGTCTTTATTACCGCAAAAATCAACTGGGCATCGCCGAACGCTCATTCTCCGCCCAAACGTAGCGCTAGAGGTCACAACCAGATGTCAAAGTTTCAGCCCGATCCGATAACTTAATCAAAAGTTAGAAGTGATTTTCTGAAAATTTCAATGGGAAAATGGCGTCCGACGGAGATTTCAAACACACGGGGCTCTATGGCACCTGAAACCGAAAACGAGCAGAAATGGGCTCCTTTTTCCCATTGAAATTTTCAGAGAATCACTTATAACTTTTGATTAAGTTTTCGGATCGGGCTGAAACTTTGGCATCTGGTTGTAACCTCTAGCTCTACCTTTGGGCGGAGAATGAGCGTTCGGCAATGCCTAGTTTATTTTTGCGGTAAAAAACCGTGTACATTTTCTTTTGTGACACCCTGTATATTCCAGATAGTTAAAATTATACTGTGTTTCTCGTTACTGTATCATTTATGGCAATAAAATAAAAGTTGTAGGCGAGATTATGAAGTATAAATAATAATTTGTAGCATAAAATTTTGTCAAATAAAAGCGAACTATATCCTATACCCTCTCCCTCGAACGATCACAACGATTCTGATTGTATAAATGTGTGGATAAATAAATGGTCTGGCACAATTTTTTGTAATTTCTTGCACGACCTAAAAAAGGAACCGAAACATCTACAGTATCGAAATCTTTTTTCCTCTAGTTTTCTTTGCACGTCAGTTGAGTTTAGCTTCCGTATTGGATACGGAAGCTAAACTATGCGCGCAAATGATAAAATTGTAGATGATAACTCTCGACGGAAATGACCGAGTTCGATCACTGGTTGCATAAGCCGCAGCGTCAACGAGAGCAAGAAAGGTTTCTTTATTTACCCTCGATAAATTGTATTAGCAATTTATATTACTTTGTTTCCTAGGTTTTTTCGTTCCCAGCCGGAATGTGAAGCTACCATTCTGTATTGAGTAATCGTCACTCGTCAGCGGCCGGTTGCGGCGCCGAACCGCTACAGCCTTCGTCGGGCGAGTTCTCGTTTTTCCGCGTGGTCGTCGCGGCGTACGGAACAAGACCCATATTTTCGCCATACCAAAACATTTTAAGCTGCCCTTCATTCAGCTGCGACGTATCCGTAGCCATGGCGTCGATCGCACAAGCGTCGCAAGCCAACGAGTCCTACGAAGCAATCTGAGTTCATAGAAACCTTAGTAGGGTGACGTCGTTTCGACATTACTGCGTCAATACGTCGATGCGAAAATGTCGTTTACACTCAACGCGACAATTGACTGACGCGGCTCCCTCATTCGGCAGGGAAAACTTCCGTTTCCGGAAGAAATGTAAACTTTACATCACGGCCACGTGGTTTGAGATGTTGGTGGCTGAGTCCGGCCGAGTCGAGGAGGAAAGCAGACGTGAGTTTCAATGTTTTGCTTTTGGCGGAAATTTATAAGCGATAAAACGAAAACGAATAGCTGCTCCGAGTTCCATGAACATTGCAGATTAACTGGGTTCTTCATTTGGAAAAAGAGGGAAAATCATTCCCTCTTTCTCTTTAAGGAGAAACGCTCTCAGAACGATGACGTGTTATCGGGATGTATGGATTACGCATTCAGAGGACGTTTGAAATTCCGACACACTTCCTGGTTGCCAGACTACTAGTAGTGCTGGCTAGATTGGCTTCGCCTAGCCCTCTTGTCAACGCCTAGCCGCGCATGGTCGCGTACAAAACTCTCCCATAGCGTCGCGGAGAGGCTTCATGACCAGTAGCGTATTGAAGGAGTCCGGTTTAACTCTGTGAAGCGTTTTCAGAGGTGTAATACTGTTCATACCTCAGCTAAAAGTTTAAATAAAACCCGAAGCCCTCACGGTCTTAGATACGGTGCAGTACATTATCAGAGAAAGGGGGGGGGGGGGGGGGGAGAGAGCAGGCGTTGAATACGTTGCATCATATCGCAGTTAAAAGAAGAAAAAAAAAGAAGAAACACTGACACTCACTAAATTGCGTGGCTCCCCAGCCGACGATGAACCCGTGGTATCCGGTCACATCCTTCTTGGAGATTTCCCCGAAAGGCAGGCACACGGGCTGCACGAACTGGTTGAAGGAGACCTCCTTGCTCAGCTCGAGCACAGCTACGTCGTTGCTGTATGTACGGCGATCATAGCTGGGATGCCTGTGCACCGCGTTTACATCCACGTCAATGGGAAGAGTGTTGTCGTCTGCCGACGAGAGGTCGTGGTCGCCCAGACGCACGCTGAAGAGCCGCGCCGGAAGCCTGGACAAAAAAAAGGCGACCTTAGATTCAGCCCACGGGTTCCAATAAGCCGCCTTTATTTCTCATCGGAGTTTAAGAACAGACTCTGATGCGCCAATGTTTCAATGAATTTTTTATAACGTATTCTGAATTTCATTTTTTTTGGTTGGTTGGTTTCGATAAAGTTTCAACCTTAATTTATGGGTGTATTTACCATGTCATTTTCTTACGCAATCACTTCAAAGCGCTTGTTTTTTTACATGAAATACGCGAAAATGGTGAATAATGTTACCTATTATGATACAAGGACTTTGGTGTGACCTACTTAGTAGCACACAAAGGTCACATCGAACACGCATGATTGTGCGTTGGAAAATATAATCATGCGTGTTTTTTAATAAACAATCCAGTTAAAAGATGCGCTCAGTTGTCGTCTCGTTCTTTGAGTCGCTTATTATTCTTACGACAAAAAGGCGATGGCGGTCAACGTACTTTGTGGCGCGCACACCGACGCTGACGCAATGCGCGGCCGTCAGGATGTGCTTGGGGGAAACTAAGGCGCCTCCGCAGCCGATCTTGCCCTTGTCACTTGTCTTCAGGTAGATGGCTGCCTGTGCAAAACAAAGGCAGCGCTTAGCAGCCATCTTGTGATCTGGATATTTATTTAAACACTCAACGTGTCGTGGGTTTTCAAACTTAGCTCTTACCCCTACTAAAAAAAATTATGAACCACACCTCCCATAACACATAATAGCCGATACAATAATCGTATGAGCCATAACATATATTTTTCCCACCAAAGAACAAACAAGGGAATTTCATGTCTGGAAATGGCTGTCTTCTTTACCGTTCCTGTCAAATGGGACATACGTGTCATCGTCTTCATCTGCCTTTGTTCATTCTCGAATTAGCGATATTTTCTTTCCATGGATGTGGCACAGAGCAGCCGACGACAGTTTGCGTTTATATGAAATAATAGCTGAAAACACAAAAATAGACTACATTGAACCATTTAAAGTTATCAAATTTACTAATAAATCTACTTAATTTATATTAGTTTTCGCGTTACCTTCGCTGGAAAATTTTAGTTAGGAGTCGTATGGTTTGCATATAATTTTCGCTAAGGGACAGCCTCCCGTAACAATATTTTTTTTAATTATTCCTCGTACATTACAGAATTAAGGCGAAAACTTTCATTCAGGCAAAATAACGAGTGTGCGCTTCTCTGGTATAGGTAACTATTTTTCATTCATATGAAAATTGTTCAAAATGCATTTGAACCCTTAGTTGGATTGTCGTCAATTTATGACGAGACATAAATAAATAATTTGCGTCTATAACAGCAAAAATTCGTGAAGCGTTTTTGTTAAAGATCTGCAGCATGCCCAGTGCAACGTGATCGCAAGTGCGTAACAGTAGACGCGGATAACAATCTAAGCCTGGGAAGTGCTGCTTTTAGTCACGATGACCGAAAAAGCAGCGCGAGCTTTAACATTCCGTACTCTCAATCTGCGGTGCATCCTACTTGAGCGCTGAACGTCAACTACTGTATGGAGAAAATATATTGAGAAATAAATATCAGAACTTAGAGAGTGCCAGGAAGCTTGTTAGGAAATGACATAGACGAGAGAAAAAAAATTGACAAAAAAACACGGAATCTCCCTTCGTCTTCCCCATGTCAGGGTTCACAAACAAACATGTCGTCTAAGGAAAACCTGTTTTGGGGAGTTCGCCTTCACATCTGGTGAGCACCACTCAGAAGCGGGGGAAATAAAGCTGTTTCCGGATGGCACTTATACCGTTAACAAAATACAATCTAACGAATACAAATTTGAACTACAGTATAAATCCAAGCGAACTTTTTTTGGTTAAATATTTTCTACGTAGTTATCGCTATAACATGAAAAATTTCCGTACTATTTTATATCACTCAAGTTTTGCACACAAGCAGGCAAGATTCCGGTCACTCTAGACGTAAGTAAACGAAGGCTCCCTATTAAAACACAGCGTACACAAACAGTGTAGTGTGAAGCTACAGTGGCTTAAAGGGGGTAGTGTAACGAACGAAACCGGAGAAGCGGCACAGCGTTGGAAGACAGCCGCGGGTGGAGCTGGCACTTGCAGTACCGTCGTTCCGCCTATGGCTCCGGCTTAGCCGTTTGGTCAGTTTGGCTCCGGCCAGCTCTGGCCGATTCGCAGCTGTTGACTACACTGTCGTCTGCTAGTTTCACATTTTTATCCGCCTTCAAACACAAATCATGTCCTTGGAAGTTCACTAGAAACAAACGATTGTTTTTGAAGTATTTATATTAGTTATGAAGCGTGTTAGGGTACCTCTATCTGCCGGCCGATTGAGGCATCCTAATAGAGCTGCGGATCGAAGCGCCACCTACACCGTCTTCCAAGTAGCGGCCGTTCCCGACGCATGGTGGAGGCTACGCGGTAACTACACTACCCCCTTTAAGTCACCGTAGTGAAGCGGTCTTAACGGGTATGGGTGCCGATAGCAGGTAAGAAGGGGAAGTGTATTAAACGTTTCAGTGCAACTTGCAACATCGGGCCACTGTACCCCCGAATATTAAGGGATGTGCACTGCAGCACTGGAATGCAGGAAGGTTTCCTCGAGGGCCACTAGAGGTCCGAGGACACTCTAAAGATTTAAGATATCACGCTCCCTGAGTATCATGAGGCGTATCTCACTCGAATGGACATTTGGGTTAGTTGGTATACGTTCATAATAAAAAACAGCGCAAAATGCAGATCTGTGTCCTCGTGTTTAGCACTGGTTTTTTTTATTATAAACTTATCTCATTCATCACAGTTATTCGCAGATGCCTGCATTATCCGTGGTACTATCACTGTAGCACGAACTCTACATATCCGGATAAATATTAACGTTGTTCTTGCCAACAGTCCGTATTTTTGTTTTAGTCAGTTTTAGTTACCTTTGTGTAGGACGCGCTTGACATACTACTACTATGATTTGTGTCAGAAGGGAGAGAAAAGCACGCACTCAGCCAAGCTAGGCTAACTAGTAGAGATTGCAGACTAAACGACGATTGCACTTCTGCGAGGAATGCATTTCCAGTTGTAAAAAAAAAACAAAAAAAAAACAAAGAAAAAGTAAAAAAAAAATAAAAAAATTTGCACGTGCACTCGTTTTAAATTAATCTCGCAACTCTAGCATCCCCGATCAATCATGCGCCGAAAGAGTGAAGGAGAGGAGAAGAGGAGAGCGCGCAAGAACGTCAGAACACCGAGCTCTGATTGGAACGATTTGAGGGTAGATATAAAGCTAGCTGGCTTCGTCATCTCTGCACTTGACGAACGCGCTCGAATGCGAAAGTCAAAATGCCCGACGCCTCCGTTCCGCGTGCTTACGCGTTCGACGGGGGCAGGGCAGACAAAGGCAATTATATTTAATTATATCCAGTAATCAATGCAGCCGGAGCTCGGCGTCCCGGCGTTCTGACGTCCCCGGGCTCTCTTTTTTCTGCTCCTCTCCCGTAGTTTCTCGACTCATAGGCACTGAAAGAGTAGGAACGGCTCGGAGGTGCTTCAGTTTCAGCGCGTGCTTTTTGGCTTCGGTGACAGATTTCGTGAGCTTGGATCTTACACGCGCAGCGAAGGCACGGCGCAAGGCAAGGGGCGCCTGCTAGGGTTCGGGCGTTTGAAAGGGACGCCTTGCGGTTCTACCCTTGTCAATAAATATTGCTAGCACACTTGGTTTCCGAGACACTTCCGTACAGCCGCAGTGTTCCCCGACAGATAGGAGAATCGACGAACCATCCAAGGCCAGGCCCCCACTTCCGAGATTTTTCCACCGACGATACGGGAGTTGCTGATGTTCGAGATTCCACAGCCTGCAAACGTATTGAGAGAAGGAGGAGATCGGATCGAAACATTAACGGCACATACATTTCCTAGACAGCGGACAATGTTGAAAACCGGCGTGCCGCCTGCGGGTGAGAGGCATTTTGAAAAGCAGCCGTCGGAGGAAGATCTGCATTCCGGTTGCTTAATTGTACCACGACCAGCCGCGGACATTGCTGACCTTTACCTCGCGCCCGAAAACGGCGTACCTCGCCGTATTTTTCGTATATTCATTCACGTGCACACGTGTTGCAGTACGCATAACTTCATCTTCGTGGCTTTATCAGACAAAGGTATTGAAGGCGAACCCAAACTGCGTCGAAACAACGGAGGTGGCAGAATAAGACGACTTAGCAGTGATAGCCAAGTGAAAGGCTGTGTGGAAAGCCTGAAGTCTCGACGTTAGTCTTGGGGCTGGACCTCCTCAAAGTTTATTGAAGTCGAAAACAAACACACACACACACACACCGCGTTGGTGCGCACCGAAACGTACTCCGATCACCGGTACGTTTAGCTTCATTGTTGCCACTTGGTTTGTTTACCCCCTGAGTGTTTACAGTCTAATAAAGTCACGAGAGCAGTAGCAATAGTAGTAGTAGTAGTAGTAGTAGCAGTAGTAGTAGTAGTAGTAGTAGTAGTAGTAGTAGTAGTAGTAGTAGTAGTAATAATAATAATAATATTTAATGTCGAGGGTACATGACGAGAGTCCAATGTTTGTGATTGGTGAAACCAACCAAGGACTTGTAGGAAGGGAACCAGTATTCAAAATTAGCAGAGTAGAGGGTAGCACATAAGCACGTGCATGCACAAAATATGCACGTACGGACACACATAAACAGAGACGCAGATGGCCATGTCTCGCCACAGTGGAGTGGAGAAGTTGAAGTTTGCTGCTAGAGTAGTGGCAGCTTGAATAGAACTGCAAACATACATAAACAGACAGTCAAATAATGACGCTCTATAGAATTTGGTTATAGCTCAGTGTGAGACGGAGGAGTTGTCAAGGTCAGTATGTATGCGCATTGGTGAAGAAAGTCCACACAAGCACTGAATTGTTTATCACAACATATATAAAAATAAAAGCATCGATTAGTACGTTTAGTACGTTTAGTTCGTCATGTTAGTTCGCACGGTCACATGAAGCAAAATTAAACAAAAGCAATGGCGCAAACCAAACTATTTTTTAAGGAATGTGGATGCGGAAGTGTTAATGTCGAACAGGTCAAGGCCAGCAAGGACTTGTAAGATCAGGCCCAGTTTTATGGCAGAAAAACAAATTGCTAAGTGAAAGCAAAAAATTAGGGTGTTTACAGAATTCAAAGATTAGCCCCACAATGAAAAAGTGTACAGCAAGTTGGAGACAAATTTTACCATATGAAACTAAGTTGAATATGACACAGGGGCGCACGCACATTACCAGATGCAGAGCGCCAGGATAAAGAGAGATGCGCTTGTCGGAGATGTGGATGAGAGAGTTTCACATCGTTATTTGAGAACAAAAACTCTCTCTCACACACACTCACGCATTTTCACTTCCTACTGTGACGCAGTCTTGAGAAACAAATCTTACACACATGCTCACATCCTACTCCGATGCGGACTTAATAATTCTTAGAGGTTTTCCCTAAATAGTTAAATGTTAATTTGAGGGGAAAAAAACACAGATACGCAAGTTCACCAGAAAAGGGACAGTCAGTACAGGAACGAAAAACAAAAAGTTAATATATTTGAAATTCCGAATCCGTTTAGACCATTCAATATGCTCGTCTGTAAAAATAACAATAAACAAGGTGAAAATAATGAATCCGGAGCAGGATTGGAAATGTTTGGCGCATAGAATGCGCGCAAACTTTCACCATCACGAGTTCTCGTTTTCGGAATTTGGAAACGGGGAACTGCTCGAATCTCAGGATGTGGGGCGGATGTGATTTGAAACCCGCTCTCTCAGAAGTGTTTCCAGATGACAGTTTGCACAAATAAACGACGGCAATTCGAGAGAGGCGACCAAGTTTTCACTTGATGAGTATTATGTGCGGCAAGCAGTACTGTTTAGAATACATCTAAAATTGCGGTCGATCCCTGCGTGCCATAAGCGAGAACAATTGGAGAAGACAGTATTGCCATACCACAGTATGCTATATACTGCGGCATGCCTGATATTTCTTCTTGTACTTAAGAGTTACGAAACAATTTATATTAGTCTCTAGACAAGAAACGATTCTCGACCGTTGACATAAGTGCGACATATGTGTGCTCCACGATAAATCACCAAGTGGTGCCAAGATATTTCATGGAGCTAATATTATAAACGGCTTCACAATTGGTGCATATAATAATAATAATAATAATAATAATAATTAGTCCAGGAGAAACATAAGGATAAAAGTGCCCGCCAATCCACACACACGTATACTTTTACTGCGTCACTGCACATGTCTATCATTCCAGGAAAACTACCGGCGAGGAACGCTGCGGCGAAGTGCGAGGTAAAATTAAGGGAGTTCTGTTATTGGTCAAGGTACGATGGAGGAAACCCAAACTCATTTCTTCGCTCACAAGTGTTTCCCATAATGCCCCTCAACAAGTGGGGTCGCTACGGTTTTCCACATTGTCCATTTGTGTCCAGTTAGTGCCGACGCTCTTGTGTTTTGAGTTGTTTTCACGGAGTCATATGGACGTGCTTGTTTGTATGGTGGAGCTATTATATTCATTTAATCAAGCTGAGCGCTTTCGGGCTCATATGAAAGTTTCTTCACAACTAGAATGTTTGTTCATCACTAAAATGTGTTCACCACAAAATGTTTAACATGATTGTAAACCTGAGACTGGGGCAGAAAAGAGAACACAACAGAAGGTAGTAAAAGAGGAGGCAACGTCTCAACGAAGGTAGTAAAGGAGGAGGCAACGTCTCAATGAAACTCAGGTTTACAATCATGTTCAACTTACACCAGCTCGCCTGCACTCTGACTGTTTTTACAAAATAATTGCTTGTTTACCACTCCATGTTTGTTCACTAATAAATGGAGAGCAATCAAGTCGAACCAGAAGTGACAGTAATCAGGAGTTTATATAACATTATTCGGGCAGTAAAACCTGTAGCATGATCATTTATGTTGATCCTTCTTAGCCATCGCTCAACGGGCTCCGCGTTTCTGCTGTAATGCGATCCCGTGCATCAGTCATAAAGTTGCCTAGACAAAATCTTAGATTACGAGACAAGACTTCCCTTCCTTATGAGCCAGTGAGTAGCCGCAGGATAGAAGACTGAAAATCTCAAGCAGTCCGGTCAAAGACGTTTCATGTGATTTATAAAATTCGCTGTAGATAAAACGTAACTAAATCCGTCACGTTGCATTTTCGACGCTGCTTGACTGGCGCCTTCTGTTCAGCGCTAAACGCGGTCTGAGTTGTGTTAAAATCAAGCGCACATTGAAAGGGTGCCCTTTTTTGCCCACAATGTGTGAATAAGTTAAATCGATAACTGTAGCACATTTTCCCAATGCGGGCAAAGCGGTGCCGTCACAAACCTGAGGAATGTAGGCGACAATAGCATTTTGCCGCACTGCGCGAACGTCCTAAAGCTATCGCTTACACTTCTAGGCACATTTACAGAAAAACCTGTGCCGAAGCAGGCGAAGGCGCTGGCTTTCCCTGGGTTTTTGAGTGGATTAAAGTTGACGTTCAGCGATGAGCGGACAGGGGGACGCATGGAGAGAAACGAGGCAAAGCTCTGCGGGAAACGTGGGCAGAAGGTGACCAGTTTTGGCAGAACATATTTTATTTTTCGAGTTGCGTTTGAGGGGTAGAGATACTACAGTGAAATCGAACTCGGTGGAAGTTTCTAAAACTCTGCAACATTACGCGTCGGAACTGGAAGATGCCAAAGTGGGATTTCGTTTAACGCAAGTAGTGTTTGCAAACACTTATTTTTAACTTATCGTTACCAGGTGACGGTTCCTTGTGGTCGCGCCCATATCGACGGGTCGCCGGGGCTTTTTGCTCATTCTTCTTTGCGCGGCGCGTCCAATGCGAACATCCAACTTCTTTTTATTCACGTCATCAAGGAAGGGAATAATATATTTTTTTTTATTTTGCCACTGCGATGACAGACAACAAACACCGACACCGAAATTTCTAAAAAGTATCACAGGTAAAACTATCGCTTTAAGGGAGCTGTGAAATGCCATTGGATGCACCTCCGGTCAAGGCGTAAGGAACAATAAAAAGAGACGATGAAAAAGTAAGTTCAAGAAACATTGTTGAAGACTTCCATCTTTAAGAAAATTGGGAAAGGTTGGCACACTCTCCATGTCCATATCAGATTGAACGCACCATATGAGATTGGAACGCCCTCCCTTACAATATATTCATAGCCCCTAATTTTAATAAAGCACTTGATGATCATCCATCCTTTTTAGGTATTGCCATTGTGCTCTTGTGTTGTGAATATTTTTGAACATATGTTGTACAAACTTTTTTCCCCGTTGATTGTTAGTTATGAGAGTGTTAATTACTAAACATTATGAAAGCCATGTGTAATGATGGTTTACAAAAGGTAAGGGCGCAAACGAGCTGGTGGTGGTTAAACATTTCGACAAAAACCCCGAGACTTTGTGTCGAGTGTTGTGTTTTTGAGACTTTGTGTTTTTCCGTCCCTTTTTGTCCCAGTCTCGGGGTTTTTGTCGAAATGGTTTACAAGTCTTTTGTACCCCACACCTGCAAGGGCCAATCAAAAAGCCTGCAGTATATAATAAATAAATAAAATAAAATAAAATGCCATGTACACAGAATAAGTTATAGCCGGATACAAATTAAAGATGCGCGAAATAAATTACACCACGTATCAGCCACGGTACTGAATCTCACCAAGGAGGTTATAATGGGCAGGAGGTGGCGTCCCTATCCCCAATGCATGGAGCGAAGTGTAACGGAAGTAGGCGTGGCCACGAGCCTCAACGAGCATTTCTCGACGAATGGGAAGCCTAGTGAGTGGGCGCCGCCATTAATTTCGGTGCAAACAACCGCGTTGCGATGACATTTCCGTGGCAACACGACTGTGTGCTCCGAAAGTAATGTCGGCACCCACTGTTATTTGAAACAGCGCTTAACGGGAGACTTTTAAACCGGTATGGTCGGAATTGGATGAGATTATTATAAACGAACGCCTGGTTGCCCAGCAGAAAGTAAGTGACCAGAATTGAGACGCTCTAGACGACGCACCGTGAAGGACTGGCGGTGCGCAACGCATGTTTTAATAAACAGCAGCAGCAGATCGCACGAGCGCGCATGCAAGCCAGGAGCGCACAGAACAACGGACTCGCGTCCAGTTCTGACTTCGCTCGCACATAATGTGGAACTAAGTATAAACACTCACGCTGCAAAGCATTTGCATCGTGGACGCCCACGGCGGACGCCGACCGCATCGAAAGCTAGCCTCGTGAAGCACACGCCGGAGCAGATGAGAAAGAAGACGAACCGCCCGTGCGCTACCCCACGGCCTCGGAACGGGTGCGCAAGGCAGTCTGGGATTAAACGCCTCTTCCGGCTTCACTCAGGCTGACGTGATGCCGGGCCCTGTCTGTTTAAACGTCCTTGGAATCGCACGCTGACCAACAAGGAAAGGCAGTAGCCATGTTGAGTTACGTGACGCCGAGGCTCGTAGAAGAGCTGCATGTCGCAGGAGGGAACGCGAGGCGTGGGCCCGGTACTCAGTTAAACGGCCTTCTCGGTCAAAGGTATCTTTTGTCAGCAACCTGCTTGTATTGTTCTGTTTTGAGAGTGATGACTCTGCATTCATTTCTACAGACTTCAGCGCGTCGGGGAGGCTCGCATTGAACTATTTGCGTATTGTGGAGGAACACTGGCTGGCAGTAAAGAGGGTGTGGGTGGATTTTCTAGCGCGTTCTGAACATGTACTGGATTATAGCCAATACTTTCACTTACCTCCTGGTAGGAAGCTCGGGTAGTTCTTAATGGGTTTGGGTGGCTCGAGCGGCTTGATAGCGGCGCCAGAGTTACCGGCCGCCTTGGGGGCTATGAAGGTGAACGGCGGAGGTTCGGGTGCAGCGGAGGGCGATGTGGGCGCGGGCGTGGTGGTGGTGAACAGCTGGGCAAAAGGCTTGCCCTCCTGTGAGGTCGTGGGGCAGCACAGCTTGGGCTTGTTTCTCCGAAAGCCGCATACGTATCGGCGTAGCACCGTCTGGTTTGTGATGACGTTGTCCAGAGTTGGGCAGGACCCCGTCAGCACGCAGCTGCCTTCCTCCTTGAATGGGGTCTGACAGTCTGTGGGTGGAAAGACGGAGGCCATTGAGACATCTCAGGCCTATTGTATGTGGTCTATGTGCGCGTTTCTTGGTTGTCCCTGAGATGAACGATGAAACAGGGAAAGGAAATATTGCTGACGCATCGTAATTGCCGATGAGTTCGCTCACGACCCGAATGCCCTCCAATTCTATGTGATAAGGCGAAAAATAAATGTTGGAGAAAATGCTACTCTTCTGCGAGCGGAAGAGTAATAGTAGTATAAGAAGTACAGCATACAAAAAATGGACGGCTTTTGCAGAAAAGCGTCCACCCATTTTATTAAAAGTTGGCCGGCACGACCGGGCAGAACGGGCTAAGGGTAAAAATTAAACAACTGAAATATTGCGCATGCGGGACACGACAATTTTTAAATTAATATGTATATATACATATATATATATGCACGCCAGGAAAGCGCACTTGAGGTGGTTGTTTGGAGTTGTAAAACATATTATTCATAAACATCGTGGACGTTTCGGCCTGAGAACGACCTTTTTTAAGACCCATCAATTTTGGAATAACACATTTTAGACACTACATAATTTGCCAGAATATTGGGGAGGGATCTAAATCAACTTATACAGTCATAATGAGCTTTTAATCTCTAGAATAAGCTGTACACTACAATTAAACTAGGCACTATCCGTAGTGGCAATATATGAAACAGATTATTCGACTGAGCAACCTGCAGTTTCCAAGTTATGAAATACGTTAAGATGGTGGATGGACCTTGTAACTGCAAGTTAGCGCTCGTCCTGTGTCCTACTTATTCTTTGTCCCGTCTTTTTTGCTCAACTTTTTTACCATGTACACATCATCATCCTGAAATTTTTGCACGAGATTAGCGGTCTAAGGTAGAATGAAAAAGTACTATGGCAAATTGTTCGAAGCGTGACGTTTCCGTGTTATGGCCAAATTTGTTTATTAAATACATGAGCGGTTATGGTAGTGCTGCCGTAACCCGCTAAGAGTTGGCGCAAGCATACGATGGCACATACTTCTGGGGATGTAAAAAGTTGTCATTCCCTTTTGCAGAAAAACTATGTTTTTTATTACTTCCTACAAAACACCAGCTCAGAGTTGAACCGCCTTGCCGATTCATCGCCTTCTTTAAAGACTTCTCATCCTCCTAGACCGCAATAACTGAACACCTCTCTAAGCTTGCACTCCTTATTTTTTATATTTGGTTTGTTTGTTTGATCATTATACTCCTTGTTTATGCATTTCTAATACCATGTACCAACTCTCTTTGTAACGCTGCTGGGGGCTTATCGGTATCATAATAAAGAAATAAACACGAGCGTGGTCTGCATTTTATTGTCTGCCGCCTTTCGCTGCATTTACCTCACTGTAGACCTTTCAACATCTCGGGCAAAAGCAAAGAGGTCATCGCATATCTATGTTTATCCATTGGTATTTTTAGAAGGAGGGTGTTAAGTATGAGCAAACATGCATCGATTGGAAGAGACGTTTCAAAGCGCTTATTATGTAGATGTATTTATGTCATTATTATTGTGCAGTGCCTAATTTTGACTGCAATAAAAGGACTGAAGCAGTGGGCTCCTGTTTGAAGGTACACAATACCAGTACTTTTCAGTTACCACCATAATAATCCCCTTTCAGCTACTCAAGATTCTCCTTAGGCGCTATACTGAATATTTTACCATCTATCTGTTTTAGAATGCTGCTGCCGAGTCGTACCTGACCGAGATGTTTTTTTTTTCACTTTTAGAAGAATCCTTGCATTCTGAGCCCCGACTCGAGCATTAAACATGAATTTAAGGGGAATTTTCGTCGCATTAGCGCTGCGCGGTAAATGCTCCGGGGAGCTTTGATTGCATTGTGCCTGTCTTGAGTAGGTCAAACTTCGTTAGCAGCCAGTGTTGCCGAATAAACGCAAATCTCGCTTGTTGGAATAGTCCAGGAGGTGGTCTGAAAAGATCGCCTTTCACTGTGGACCCGGAATTTCAGAGTGGTTCAATCCAATGTCTGGAATATGCGTTCGACAACTCGAGGAACTAATGATTTATGTGCGGCTGTGCTGTCAAGCAGTTCTAAAGACGGGCCGTGTTATCACGCGGTGCATGTACCGCAAGCGGCCGTGATTTTGTTCTGAGTAGATGTAAGCTGGAAACCCCACTTTACGGCGCTGGTAGCCTTTCATTACTGTTACAAGTGAATAGCGTGCCCTGTTTAGCGAGATTGTTTTAGAGTAACCCTATATAGGTAACTTATGAAGTTCTTCCCGTGGTTGTTTCTATACTGCTCTAGGTCTCAAGGTTGTGCAGCCCCTCCGGCGAGTGAAATTCAACATTTCTCGGGAGCGTTTTGCTTGCGCGTTATTCCGCTTTTTTATGTATCTCGCGGACGCTAATGTGGCAATATGTTATTGGTTGGTAAATATTTTCAGACAAAAGACAACAAGAAAAAAGAGACTAAATAAAAAAAAAGATCTTATTGTCTTGATCGTAAACAGATGCTGACGCTCCCCTGTAAATGATTGTGAATCGTGGTTGAGTGAACGCTGCAGTGGTGCTTTATGTTCGATGCAGGCATTATATTGGAGCGTCTTAAGGGCGCGCCTGCGCCTCCTAACCGAAATAAACAGGCCTATTTAAGCCCTCTCACTGAAGCGACCAAATTATTTACAGAAATGCCCCTCTCCACGATCCCCCTCCCTCCCTTCCCACGGTTACTGGGCCAGTAATCTGGGTGAGACACCGCATGACGAAACAGCAGGTCGTCTGTTTTGAAGAATGTGCACAGGAAACGCGAAAGAACGCCGAGTGCACCACCTGTAAGCAATATGGCAAAGTATTGTCGCGAATGTAGAAAGTAAGCTATATCATAACTGGTCCTCCAAGTAAGCATAATCACCTGACAACAGCCTTACTTTTTGACAGCATATCTCGTTTTCTGCTTTTCTACAAATGCATGCAGAACAGCACAAAGCTTAGTCAGTCTTTATTTAAAATAAGACACAGTTTCGGTAAAACTAGGCTAGTTGTGACCCACTTGGAAACAGAAAACAAAATGCATTTCTTTTTTACTAAATAATAATACCCAGATTTTCCCTTGAAGGTGATTTCAATGAGTCTTCTTTTCGCTCGAAAAACTTAGTTGCGGTGAAAAGACGCCATCGCTGAGGGACCCCAATAAATATAAATGTCCCCCAAAATGACCTGGTTGTCCGCTGTTAAAGGGATGCTTCGCTTGAATCCTGGTAACGGAGCCAGATCTTGAGTCTCTTGCTTATCTGAGCCTGAGTCCAAGCAAGTAAATATTGCACGAGTGAAGTTGGCTAAATATGAATAACCAAACAGGTGTGTTCTTGCAGTTTGCATGTGACATATAGTACAGTTAAACACCAAATTTCCTCAAAGGGTCGGCGTTGCCTTTTCCCTTAAAACAACACAAAACAAACAAAATAATTACGTTACGTAAGGTGACCTTCCGGAATTGGTGTGTAGAGGTCATGTTAGGTGCCCCACTGAGCGCAATGAGAACACGCCGTTAGATAAGGATGCAGGCCAGTGGTACCATGCATTGGGTGGTGTGGGAATTCAGCAATGGCGAAGGAGCAGCTTGCGGATTGCCAAGGTTAGGAATATCGACCGGATAAAAGAGCATCTGTCTTTGACTGTGACTGTATACGTTATGAGCACGTGTTCGCTAACAATACATGTCGCTTATCGCGCGCGCAAAAAAAGTCAAGAACTTACTTCCACTCGTCTGTTGTGCCACAGCTTGATGCGCCAGGAACACAGCCAACACCATAACATAAGTTGCCATCTGAAACAAATAGGGCATCGTGAAAGACAGCTGTAACTTTCTGAGCCAATTTAAAATGTGCCTTCGCAGGTAGTTATTTTATGAAAGAGGTATACTTAGTACTACCTTATTTAAGTAATTTAGTGAATGATCCTATATTTCAGTGATAATCTGCATAACATGTTCCACAACAACACTACGGGTCGTTTGGTGAAAGTGAGACTTGGCAGAATCTCTGATGTGCTTCATTGAAAAAAAAAAGAAGCTGCCAATAATGATATTCCCAGTGGAAGCAAGAAGAAACGGAAGAATGCAAGCCCAGTTCGGTTTCCCGTCTGAAGGATAAGCTGCGGACGGGAAGGGAACGGCTGCCTGAAAGGAAGAGATATGACAGCAGGTGAGTTCCTTTAGGGGGATGGTACTACAAAGTATAGGTGCTAGAATTGCAGTTGATATGCAAAATGTTTGCTTAAAAAAGCAGCTTGTTTTATGGACCAGAAAAATTAATTAATTATAACCGCGGAGTCCTTTGATTCCGTTTTAAATTATACCTACTGCCGTAGAGAGGTTAATAACTTTGTAGATGCTTTACCGCAAGCACGGGCTTTTGCCCTCCATCGGGTTTTGGCCAAACGTGCGACCAGGTGTTATCTAAGGGAGAAGCTCCATCTCGAGAAACCATCTATACGCTACTTAAACTGTCACCAACTGTAGTTATTAAAATTGAATTTATTGTCAAAAGTTAGGTTTACCTAATACAAATATATAAAAAGCGGTTCCTAAATTGTATCCGCCCATAGAAGTTTGGGCCGTCGCATGTTTGCGCCATAATGCCGCGCGCGAAGCTGGCCAAGCAGGCAGCGCGCTTGTGGCAATATGGCGCAAGCATGCGGCGGCAAAAACTTCTGTGGGCGGATACATTTTGGGAACCGCATTTATATTTAGAGGGTTATGACTACCCTCATATAGAAGGACATGTAATTAATACAAATATATGACAAAACACCTTAACGTTTCACTTTTGAACAATTTGCCATGTGACTGGTTTAATATATTTGATATGCCATATTTTTTGTGACGAAATTTCAAGATGATAACTCAAGTCCTTGAACCGAAAAGTGTTTTAGGTTTGCCACCACGGATAGTATCTTAGTTGTTCGAAGTATAATGCGTTTTTACACCAACATACTCGATATTATTTTACGTTTTAAGTAAAATCCTTTTCCATTACATGTCGAAAATCGTGGTTCCTACCATGTTTCTTTACATGCATAAAACATTTTGAGAGGCCGCTCTGTCAAATTTTTGACAAACAGCCCAGTTTATACGCACGAAATTTAAAGATGCAACGAAACAAAACATTCTCAATTCAGATATTGTTACCCAAAAGAATCACTAACGTGCAGAGTACCTTCAGTTTTTCATCAATTTATTCGCTTGGGTTTCTGGGACTGATTTGCCAAACCAGGTGACTCTCAAGCGGATTCCTAGATGGTGTATTTATGGTGATAAATCAATCTACATGCTCCAAGCATCCAAAAAACCCGAAATTACACTCATGAAGGCACTTGACCTACTACCAAAACTGGTAACGGACAGGAGACGCTAATAAACGATGCGGCAGAAATGAACCGGAATCAAGTTCTACTCGACAATTAAATTGAAGCCCTGCTTAAGAAATTCACTGCGATTGAAACAGAAATACCTTTTTTTTTTTTTTTTAATAAGCTTCAAAGGTGATATGCACGAAATAGGTGCCCTCTTAACCAGTCTATGAGCGAACGTTGCTGCGGTCTCCTCTAGACTGGATGACTTGAAAAATAGATCAAGAAGAAACAATTTGTTGATTTTATGAATCATTGAGGAACCTAATGAAACATGGTCACGTTCTGAATTAAAAGTAAGTGAGTTCGGTCAAAAGAACCTAGAGGAGACCTTGGCAAAGAACAACATGGAACGTGCTCATAGGCTAGGCCGCACAAATCTAGAAAAGCCAAGACCATTTATTGTTAATTTCTCATCCTTGAAAGTCAAGCAGCGCATTCTATCCCAAGGATTCCAACTCTTAAACAGTGTCTTTCTAGTCGGCGAAAATGTTTCGGACAAGACCAGACTTGAACGCAAGCAGCTGTTGGAGCAGGCAAAATCTCAGGAAAGGCCATATAAGCTACGTTCCAATAAGCTCAGCATTTAAGGGGCCATGCAAGGACTTTTCTACTGGTTTTTAATTTCCACCGAACCTGAGCGCACTGAACGTAGTAGCTTAGTGAAACTTTTCTTTTGTCGAAATTCGCTTTATTTTAAAAGTTATAGGCTAATTAAAATTACAAAAACAAGCAAAAAATAACCTCCCTCATGACGTCCTTGGTTGCTTGAGTGGCCGTGAACTAGAGGAGGGATAGTAAGCTCAGCGAGCGCTCACGGCTGCCACACTGCGTGTCGACGACGCGAGAGGGCGCCACTAAAGCGTGTTCTCGATAGGCTGTATACAGCGGGCAGCCGGAGCGGCTCTCATTGCATTTTCTGCGCGATTAAACAATAATTCGGCATGACACTTCATTGGCCACAAACGACACCAAACACGGGGTAAAGATCAGTTCAGAACGGGAGCCACTTCGCGCTGCCGTACCGCGAAAGGGCCAAAATGCAAGACGAAGCAACTCGCTGAAGGCCTTCGGAACGCTTGGAGCCGGTCGGATTTTCCTGTCCGTAAACGACCGCAGCGCCGCCGTGTGCATCCGGGATCTTTCCGTGTCGGCGCCTGATCCCACTACTCTTTTCTAGTATGCGCCGCCTTTTCCACCGCTTGGTGGCGGGTATGTCGACGGGTCATTTCTTGTGTCCGTACTTTATAAACTGCATTTGTTTCTTTTCTGATCTAAAATACTGAACAAAAACCTCTATTATAAATAATTTAAACGGTTCGCGTCACTTATGTTTTGTATTTCGACTAAAAAGAAGCTTTTAGCGGCTCTGACCAGTAGTAAACCTAGGACCTAAGACGTCACATTTCGCGCGCTTTCGGTACCGCGGGTTTCCCCCGTCGGTGGAGGAGGTTTCGCGTCGTCCGATTAAAATATGACGCACTGGTATTTAGTTACTCTCTCCGTTCCCGCTGGCTTGCCCGAACCCTAAGAGACGTGGAAACTGCAAAAAAGGTAGACGCTTAAACATGATTGCAGGGCCCCTTTAATGGGGGAGTCTAGATTTATGCTAACACCGAAGGATGCGTAAAAGAAAAAAATGCCTAGCAGCTACCGTTTTAAACTTGGTATACGATAAGAACCACGCGCGAAATTACAATTATGATTATAAATTGTTGTAGTTTCAAAAAATAAGTGGAAGAGTTTGCCGATCTTATCGCCCTGACAAAACCGAGTGTTGTCATTGGTACGGAGTCCTCACTGGATGACACCATTCGTGATACTGAAGTTTTTCCTTTCGGTTATGTTGTGTACCGCCGAGACGGAAATGTGCATGGTGGAGGAGTTTTCGTGTTAGTTCATGAATTCCTTCAAACCTTTCAGATCAGAGTGAATGGTTTGAGATGTGAATCTGTATGGTGTAAGATTACTACAGAAAATGGAGAATGTATTACTGTCGGTTCTTTCTAAAAACCTTCTGGTCGTTACGAACGCGCAATGTTTTTTTTTTTTCCATTTGATGTTCTGTCAACCATAGACACAGCCAATCAGGTGCTTGGTGGCGATTTAAACTTCCCAGATTTGGAATGGGCAGGTGGTCAACCCGCAACGTTGAATACCGCTAGGTCATATAAAACGTTCCTCAAGTTTGTCTCGAGTTCTGATTTTCACCAGAATCTATCTTTCCCCACAAGGTTAGGTACAACAAGGGCGACAACTTTAAACTTGCTTTACTTAAAAAAAGAAAAAAAAAATCTCAGCAAAACGACCCTCTTGCATTTTCCCCACAATTCCAATGCGAGGGAGAGAGGGTGCCTGGGGACTCGTCCTTGGTGCGAGGTACCATAATTACACACCCAGTCCCCTGCTCGTCTCGGCTTCCCCCTCCCCTCGCGTCGGCTTCGAGTGAAGGTCGGTAAACGGGGAAGCGAGAACTTCCCTGTTGCTTTATAGCAACAGGGAAGTTCTAATATTAACTGTCTCTAGCCTTCCTGGAATTAGTGATCATCAAGTCGTAGTTGAACGAATAACCAATATATTTGAAATCAACAGGCCATATTTACCTAGGAAAGTCTTCATTTATGAGCGCGGCAACTATGACGGTATTTAAAATAACCTATGTGGCTATTTTTCTGAGTTTAGAGAGCTCTCTTACCAACTCTACTTGGAATCTCTTTGGAAGCTTTTCAGAAATAAAGTAAACTTCTTAGTCAACGTATTCAATCCTTCCAAAGTACTCGGTTGCAGGCGACGTACAAACAAGCCGTGGGTGAATGGGGTATTACGCAGACTTGGACGTAGTTCAACTACTCTACTCAAACTACTGTAGTTTAACTACCTTTTCGAGTAACTTGGTAACTTTCAATTACAACTTGATTTGGGTAATTAGTAGTTTAACTTAACTACTGTTTTCAGGTAACTTCTACTCAAATTACTAACTGCTATCGAAATTATATAGTCCTAATTTTGCCCATCACGAAAGTTTGAGCGCAGAAATGAATAAGACGCCGGCAGATGAAGTGGCATTCCCGAAGAAGGGGCCCCCTTGTTCGGGGAGGCGTCCTTGGGCCAAGGTGGCGACGAGCAGCCAAAACATAACACCGGCACACACGAACGCAGGAAGAGATGCTTAACAAACCTTGGTCAGGTATTGACCTAATCCGGTAATGCACGCAGGCGCCGCGTTTCCAGCTGCAATCGTAAAAGACGGGTACCCGAGAGTTGTTGTTTTCGTGTTGCCTGTCTTTAGTGAGTTCTGACTCAAGCGGTAGGTTCCACGGGAGGGCCACTGGAATGACCTCGCAGCTGGGCGCCTGTTCCCATGGTCGCCTTGTCGTCAGCGCATACGCCTTTGCAAAGCCGGACTCCCCCGCTCAC